ATGAATATAACTTTATAACATTCTTCTGTATTGTAAAACATATTTTCGACGTTTTTGTAAGTATTTGTCATACAGTGTCTGCTTAAGTTGGAACTATATAGGAAACTTTTTTATTATCCCCTAACACTGATCTGCCAGAAACATCCCATTTAGATAGAAAATAGAAAAAAAAAACCAGCTACAAACTCCAGTTTTCCTAAAATTGATAACTGCAAATTGATAAAATTTAATATTCATTTTTAATTTTTATTTAAAAAACTAGGGTGTAACAAAAAAATTAACAGACTAGGGTGTTTCTTTTGAATACTTCGGCAAAAAATGAAATTATACTAATGATAAATAACTAAGATACATGGATAATGCTAAAATAGTGAACCGCGAAAACAGCCTTAACAGAATACGTACCGCGGTGGTAACATAAGATTTGGTTCCGTTTACCTCTTTTTAATTTCGATTTTTACCAGTATAGCTTCTTTAGAGTTGTTTACCTAAATTAAATAGGCTTTGCTCACAATTATGAAGACTAGAGAGGAGGAGAATCGGCAATGGTCAAATTTCAAATTTCCGTGCTTCTTTTTATAAAGTTCGCGAAATTGACTGTAGTTGGCATGTCGAATAAAAGCGGTATTAATTTTCTATTTAAGTCAATGTAAAATGAAGTGATTTTTTAAAAAATTGGTGAAAAGAATCAAAATAATGTGAATAAAAGTACCTGAACATAAGTAATATGAGTGACAAAAAACATCAAAGCTGAATTTACGTCGTTCCAGAATGTAAAACAGGATTCAAATCAAATGTAAAACTAAAAAAAAAACAAGGAGAAATCAATTCAATGTCGTTTTAAAGCTTTTAATGTAAGAAAAATAATGTATTTATGTTTAAATATTTATTGTAAACTAGTTACAATATTATCTTATAGAGTGTAGTTTATTTTATTACAAGTTTCTATAATATAAAATTTTACAGTCATAAGATACTGATTTACAAACAATAATTATACATTAAGTTTAACTTACTAGAAAAGAAAATGTATCTTTTATAGTTTTAATGTTAGATAAAGAGTTGCTACTGTTATTTATTTTGTTGAACCCCAATTGTAAATGTTTTTTATAGGATACTATACAGTATGGTTCAAATGAAAGGAATAAATTCATTATAATGGAAGTAGTTGGTTTTTCGAAAAAATGCTCGGACAGGTCAATTTTGTTTACTCAAAGCGCAATTTTTTAAATAGAATTCAATTTTCCCCCACTTCCCATTTTTGGGCAGTGACGTCATTGACAATTTTTTTAAATAGTAACCCCAATTTTTTTTTCTTGATTTTGATAGATCTTGCAATTTTCTACTCGGAAACATAATATTTGTAATATCTGACATAACAATTTTTTTTGAATAAAAGTCATTTAAAGATCAGATACATATTTAAAATAAAAATAATTAAAAATTATAAACAGGTACGGTCCTGCACAGCGATAGGACGCCTCGACTCGCGCGCGCTACGCTTAGAATCGACAAAATTGCAAATCGCTTCTGTTTTTGAGGACTATTGCGCTCCGCGCTCAGGGTAGGATCTGCTCTTTGATTTTTTTTATAATGGCTCTATTTTGTTTATTATAATTTTTTTAGAAAAATGAAATCTGCCAATCGCTCTCAAATTATGCGAACTACCACCCCTACAGATTTGGACGCCAAGTTCGAAAAAAAAAAATGTCACAAAATTGAACTTACCAAATTTCAGCGTTTAACAAACCTTTTCGATTTTGGACATACCTACTACCTAAATTGTATTGTATCTACATAAAATTAAATAATTTATCAATTAAAACATGCAAGACTTATTTAGAAATAAATACAACAGTATGTTATGTGCTTTATTTAGCTATAAACAAGTTTATTATTATTTTGACAAAATTATGTATAATTCCCATACGAAGCCATGTTTTTTTAACACCGTATGCAGTACTAGCGCCCATGCGGTTAATTATAAAAGCTCAATTAGCGTGCGTTTTTTGGGACCGTATTTTGAGTATGCCGATTCGCCTTCTTATCTCTAGTCTTTATACTCACAATACTTGCCAAATTCATCAATAATCCATGAATAATTGAAAACGTCAGAATAAGAAGAGAGAATCTTAAAATTTTTATTTATCAAATGAAATAGTGACGTTAAGCATTTCAAAGAACAATTGACTTTAAATTTTAATTCTTGATTTTCTATTAGTTGATTCACACTTTCATAGGTTTTTTTTTATTTAACGCCGCCTTTTAACGTTTCTGGACTTTATTTCCAAGCAAGATGCTAAATCTTTGGCGTCTACAAGAATTTCATTGAAACCTTTATCAGTTCGATATTATTTTAAAATTGCATTTTTAGTTTTTTGGGCTGTAAGCCTCAATGGTTTTTTAAATGTTTAAAATTATACATTTACGTAACTTGTAAAGGGATTTTTTGGATTTAGCGGTCATATTGTAGTACACGTTACGCTGTATGCAACGGTACTCGTTTTTTTTTAATTAGTGTCCTTGAGCACAGTCTTATCTCCTGTTTTAGAATCTCCAAAATATTAGTTTTTAATAAATTAAGAATTAAGCTTGTGACACTTAGCCCCTATAGAAAGCATTATTTCGATTGACATTATCAGAATTTTACTTTTATTGCCGTCACTTCTGCAAATTTAGCTTTGATATAACTATAGTCTATTTATTGATGATGCTACTTTGTTGTTGTCAATTTAAAATTGGGGATTTGAAAAATGTGGAATAAGTCGAAGCATAAATTTGGTTCCCGTGACTCGCCCCCACTAACGCCGCTACTGAATAATTACGATATTAAAAAAATATATATATTAAAAATTAATTTGAACACCCGTGTATCTCGAAAATTAAGCGATAGTCATAAGAAGTTTTTGGGCTAATTTTAAAAATATAGTCTTAAGAATGCGATAAACATTCCGCCAACGTTGTCATAACCTGACATGTCTGAGTCGTGACAATTTTATTCAAACGTCGAAAAAAGCATTCAGTCCAAAATATAGTTCAATATTTTTTTTTATACAGGGTGTTTCAAAAAGGTATGTCACAAATTCATCTTCAAATAGATTACCAAAAAATAAATGGATTTGGCTATATTTACCTATATCAAAAACTGGCTCCCAACAAAGTTACAGGGTGTTAAACTAACATTCAGAAAAAAGTAATTTTTTTGTAAAAAGTGTGCTGTTGCGATTTTTTCTTCGAAATTTTTGCCAGTGCTGTAGATTTGAATGCTCAATATCCAAAGGAGAAAAAAAAATTAAAGCGACCCCTTTAAAAAAAGTTGGGGGTTAGGTCCCTTTTAACCCACCCCCCGTATTTTTTTAACATAAAGAAACTTGCTTTATAATAATAATAATAATAAATAATATTTAAATCAAATTCTATATGAATTTTTAATAAAAAGAAAACTAAATTTAGCATTACAGTAAAAACCGTAAATACCTGCTTAAAAAATGTTTTTACGGAATCTTAATCTTATAAACAAAAATGTTTGTGTTCTTTCAAATCCCCTTACCAGATTTCCTATCTTCGGTCCCTTTGCTTCCTACCTCTTGGAATCTCTGCCATATTTAAAACATTCACATATCATCTATTGCATATTGAATTAAATCCACCCTCACCGTCCAACGCTTCTCAATTTTACCCTCTTTGCTTCTTCCCGTCATTATCACCCATCGCCCATCAGAACATAATTTTACAGGGGTGAATTTCGTCACATAGAGAAACTATATTATGCTGTGTATATTTTTGCAAATAAGTTTTTAATCATTTTGACAATTTTGTAAAAATATTTTGGATGCATTGAAATTGAAACTGATTTACTTAAAAAGAAAAACATTTTTCATGGTACGAGGGAAACAAGATAAGTTGTCTCCCTAACAATGAAACTTTTTTTTTAGTTTAATAGTGACTTTTTCATAAGTTTTGTTTTACAATTTTTTTAGGGCATTTTATTTTCCTAAAACCCTGCTATAGGATTTATCCTCCTTTTCTGAGTGAAGAAAAACAATGAAACAAAAGACTGTTGATATATGCCGTCCAGTTTCTTACCAACTTAATTTTAGTAACTTTATAGAGACATCTTAAAAAATTCGATTAAATAATCAGCGAGATGGTTTTTGCAGCCAATCTAATGACATTTATGTTATAATGGACTGCTTACAAATGTCCGAGATATTTTCATGTAAGGCAACTTGACAACGCCGCTTCAAATGATAAAATGACATGTCACAGCACAAAACTTCGAAGACATTAATATTAAAATGATATCAATTAATATTATACATAGTGAAATCTATTCCACTCCTTATCATCAATGTATTAACGTCACTACTTTATTTCATCATTATCCTGTTTGAATCAACCCGTAAGTGGCGTAAGGTGAATAAAAAATCAGACGGTGGATGCTCCAGATCGAAGAATTTACACATACGCGGAGAATATATAAAAAATATAACAAGCCGTAGCGATTCAGGCAATTTTGATATAGAAAATTAAATACTGTTTTTGTTTCGATATCTGGCGACACTAGTATAATTAGAAGTAATAGTGTGCGCATCAGAGACCATGTCCGCATCACATTACTATTGTTTTGTTTGTATATAGGTTTATCGTTGTAGTTACTAAGTAAATGGTATCACAAGGCGGAGCTTATTTGAAACTAGCATAAGAAGAGTCATGTAATCAAACATTTTTAAACCAATCAAATAAATATTAAAAATGTCTTACGTAAAATTTGATTTTAATAAAAAAAATGTGAGAGAAATCCAAGAGAAATTCATACGAAATTTTGCACATTTATTTAAAAAACTTACTTGCTTTTTTTCTGTTCCAAATACTATAATTATTCATTTTGAATCGAGCCAAAGGCCACCATATTATCCGCATTTGCCCATTTGGACAAAGTCTAAAAGATTTTTTTTATTGAATGTTGTTAATGATTTTCTTTTTTTTTTTTGTTCCAGGTTTAGGACATTGGAACTTCCAGTATTTATTTAACCTTATTCATTTTTAAATGCCAATACACTGAAACCATTGCTAAAGATCGTAAAAGAAGATGGTTACCACGCCCCCGCAACAGTTCTGTGTTCGATGGAACAGTTACCAGTCAAATCTCCAAAACGCTTTTCCGAAACTCCTTACCTCCGAGCATTTTGTCGACGTCACATTGGCGTGCGAAAATGAAATGCTGAAGTGCCACAAGGTGGTGCTGTCGGCGTGCTCAACCTATTTCGAGAAGTTACTCTTGGATAATCCCTGTCAGCACCCCATCATATTCATGAAGGATATGAAGTAAATATTTTTTATAACTTTTTTATTATACTGCTAATAATAGCAGATCCAACGATGAACAACTACCAGACTAATCCTTTTATTCATAAGTAAGCACTTGTTTACTTGCAAGTATTCAGTTCGAGTTTTATGTTATAGTGGATTTTATTTGTTGCACTAGGTGTAAGTTTTCTGCACTAATCGCATTTGATTTGTTCAGTGTAGCTTCAAATATTTAACAGTAGCACACGTGTAGCATATACTTTTGACAAGTATGACAGTTCGAATACAGTGTCGAGTGTGACACTAGTGCAACAAATAAAATCTACTATTAGACATGTCTACTCGACTGTTAAGAAAGAGTGAGACGACCTACTAAATTGGGTGGGAATGGCGTTTTCAAGGAAACTTGTTAAATGAACCAGCACGTACGACTATTGCCGCGTTTGAAAATCCACATTCGATGCATTTTTTACATCTCGAGCGTTTGTTTATTCACATCGGACACATCTGTCCCACTACATTTACTTATACTGAATCACGTGATGAAAGATTTACTACATCTCAGATGCATCCGATGTGGATATTCAAACACGGCATATGACGCCTGCTTACGCTGTTGCCACACAGTAAAATAAATGGCGTACTTTCCTATAATAGTCTTCAACTGCAATAGTTGCATCCAGAAAAAGACATTAAACTGATAATAACTGGCATTAAAAATGCAAATATACTTGCTAAATGTAATTTTGAAAGCCTTTTATTAAGAAAATTCCGAATTATAACCACAAATAATCCTTGTCTACACACCGAACTGTGTGGTTAAGAACAAGAATAATTCGTCTTTTGTAAAATAAACAAAATTTGTCTAGTAGATGTTCGTTTTTGTAGTTAGCTGCAGTGGATGGGGTAAACAAGTTGCGCTGTCTCGGCGGCGGGAGCGGTCATGTGATTGAAATTCAAAGCGAAGTTACGCATCGATGAATTTTTGCTTTTTTGTCCGCTATGAAATATATACATACTTTCAAACGTCGAGACAATAATACTTTTTTCACCAAAATTCGAGATATAGCTTAAACGTGTTTATTTATGAATCTAAGGTGATATTGCAGTAATTTTTTGTGTCGGCGAAAGGGTTGATATGCAAAAGAGGATTTTGCAACCTGGTGAAAAGTGGCCTTGTTATGTTTTGACCAACAACACTAATTTTAAATTGTAATTTAAATATTCGAAAAATAATCACAAAAAATAAATTTTATTTCTCATACAAACCACGAAAAAAATAACAAAATTCTTACCATTATTTCTTACTTACTTAATAAAAATTATTCATATAGAACTCACCATAAGTGACGACTACAAGCTAACAACATTGTTACAGCAAAAGTAGGCCTTGATCTACAAAGACATAGATACGAGTCATGTCTGTGATAACTACTCACGGCTCTGAATTAAATCCAAACTGTCACTTAAAAAGAAGAAGGATTGCGCGCTTCAACATGCGTGAATTATTCCAATTTTGTGGATCACTCTTCACTTTCAGTAATAAAGAACATATCTCTTTTATCATAAGAAATATTAGATTTTTTTAATAAAAATTTTAGTTTACTTCTTTGCATATTTCTAAAATACTGTGAAATATACAGGGTGTTCCGTTACATCCGGCACAGCTTAAATGTCGAGGTTTTTAGATGACTCACTCTATACTATTTATTGCACCAGCTCAGCTAACAGTTATCACCATTTACTGAGTGGGAAAGACAATACATTAGCAATAATAATGATTCAAATACAAAATTCATAAAAATGTGAAACAAGAATGAGAAAAAACCAAGTTGCTATACAATACAATGTAAATATCTATGAAAAAAACAAAAAACAAAAAACTGTTAACACAGGAGGGAAAAAATGGTTGTTTAGACAAAACTCTGCACGCTTTACATCGTTGGTACATTTAATTAACAGTTAATAAGGAATACGATATTTATTACATTGTTGAAAAACATTTTGAATTATAAACTTTTATGTGAAATTTTATGATATTTCTGAATTTATGGGTACATTGGAGATGAGTTCAAAACAGCCAACATATAGAAACTCATGTAAACCTTTAAACCTGCACAGTGGATTTTTTAGATTGACATAATTTAACAAGTCAATACTGTCTACTGAGCGGGCCATTCAGAACATTATAAAGTAGCAGTATCTCTTGGAAATTTCTGCGTTTCCCAAGCTCAGAAATATTGAATGTAGATATTAATACATCATTGTATATTGTATAATATTATATGATGGTGGGTGGTGTTTTCCGGATTTTTCTCACCTGTAAGTCAATCAATTATCTTTAAGTCGCCCCGGAGCGTTACGGTAAATAATAATAATAATAATAATAGCTAATAATCTAGATAAGCTCAACTTTTGGGGTTAAAATTCACTCGCAAGGAGGTGAATTAGGGATTTTATTATTATTATTTTTGTGTCGTCGGCTTCAACTAATATGGTTATTTCGCCCCGTGTTCTGTGTAGGCTTTGTTACTGTTTCCCAGCGCCACTTTAGGAACAGCACTATTAATTAGAACCTAACAGTGAATGGTCGAGTGGGGAATCCTACCAAGACATCAGAATTAATTTTAAATAATTAAATTAAATGAAAAAATTACGGCCAATATTATTATTATTATTAATTTTTTAAAATCATAAAATTATGTCAGTAAGTGATGCTTAAGTTTTTTTTTTATGTAAAAAAGTAAAATTAGTGTTTGAAACATATTCTTTGACTAAATGCCATTCGCTTTTCTGAATGATTTCCTGCAAAATACGATGATTTGCAAGGATTTATTTTGTTTTAGTTCATTTTGATTTAATAAATATAATATTGATAACCTGTAAGTCCAATATGGAAGTATTAATGTGTTGTTTAATTTTCTTTTTTGGTCTTCAGATTGAGTACTAATTTTAAAAGATATATTTATAATTATATTGTTACGTTGCACGTAATCAAATATAAATATTATTCATATATAAAATGCCAAATCTGGCAAAGTCGGCAACAACAGATTTGTCATCAGATCAGCTGATCAGCTAATTTTACTCATTTAGACGATTTAACGGGCTAATATAACAATCAAACAATCATGGTCATTGGAAGTAGAATACATCTGCAAATGAGTGGATTGAGCAATCATTGACTATTTGTTCTATATTCTTGATTACAGGCATTTTTATTCGGTTCTTTTTACCCATTCCCATCGGGTAATCGGCCACTTTTCGGTAAATTGGAAAATCCTTTATCTTTTCGTCGACACAAATAATGCCCGCAAAATATTACCTTAGGTTCATAAAAACCACGTTTAAGCTTTATCCCCAATTTCGGTGAAAAAAGTAAATATCCGGTCACGTGGTAGGATCCCTACACCGGAAATAGCAAAACCGGAAAACAGAATTTGCCTGCGAAGAAATGTTTTGTTGTTCTCGACGTCTGGAAGCATTCATTGCGGGCAAAATAAAACAAAAATCTATCGATACACAATTATAATATGAATTTCACTAACAACAGGCACATAGTATAGCTTGTTCACCCCCTTTCCTTTACACGACTACAAAGAGCGGACAAAAAGCTTTTTTCGGCCAGCTAAAGGTTTATAATCAGTTTTTTGCTTTTCCTGGCTACTGACTTAAATAGTTTCGAAAAGTGAAAAAAATAAATAATTCTAAATTGTTTTTCTTTTAGATTTAGCGAAATGCAATCGCTTGTCGACTTCATGTACAAGGGAGAAGTAAATGTGACGCAGGACGATTTACCTTCTTTATTAAAATCAGCAGAAGCCTTGCAAATTAGGGGCCTTTGCGGATCCGATCAACTTCTCAATCCAAGCTACTTCAGTAATATTAAAGCTGCTCCGACACATTATCATCAACCAAATCCACCAATACAACAACACTCGACACCAATACAGCACTCGACAGTAAGTAATTATCAAAACAAAATCTCGATCTTTACACCTAAAAATTTGTATACGGGTAAGGAATTTTCAACATGGAAAACATACCTTCTTGCAATTAATTTTTCCTATAATAGGAACATCCCAAGTAGCACATGACGGGTTTATAAAAGCTGTAAGAATATTCTTAAAGCAAATGTTTATAAGATAATTAGATTTATAATTTTACTAGTAGATATTCTTACAAGCTTTATCCAACTCTTATGAGCTTAAATTGGGCACCAAATTATAAATCAAAAAAGTTTTTTAGTTCCCTTATAAATGCTTTATTAATGTGCTGCAAAATATAATAAATATTATTTGTAGATACTTACAAGGCTTTAATAAAGCAATCTCAAATAGTATTTTAAAGACAAATCTATAGTTACTGTATTTACAACCAATTGGAACCGTAAACACTTTGATACTACATTTATAAGAAACCTTTATTCGGAACCTTTAAAAACCAATAAGACAAGTAATTTTATTCTCCTTTAATAAATTTTTATTCTTTATTGGTATGGCGTGAAACAGGTTTTACAAAGAAAAAAAAAGCTTTATTTATATAGTCTCCAAAAATAAAATTGTTGTAAATTCTTTAGATTACTGCAGTGTTTAAATTTATAAAGGTTTTAGTTGATATGACGTCTTGCAATATACTTTAGTTATGAGACACGCCAAAAAAAGTAGGAAAATATATTACTTTATCGTTTTACCCAGACGCAAATTTTACAACAAGGTTCACTATTTTATGGCGATTTTTTCACGTTAAACATAAAAAATAAATTTTTATGTAAAAAAGAAAAAATGTATTAATAAAAGGAACATTAGATTAAATTATTCTTACTAATAAGCAATAATTTAGTATCTGGTTTTTACAGACCATTATCACATTATTTCACAAAAAAAAATTCTTTTTAATTTTTGACCTTAATGTATTTTACATTTCAAATATGGCCAAGGATTTAGTTGCACAAAAAGCTTTTATAAAACATTTATGCATTAAAAACAGCAACAACAAAGCAATTTGCCTAACTTTTCCATAATTTATAGGAATTTATTGCCAATTGTCTATGATGGTACTTTCAAATGTGGTATACCTAATCCTGTACTATTTAACATAATTTAATATAATTACCAGACTTAGGGCTGATTCCACCGTTGTGTTAAACGGAGATTAAAATGACATTGTTAATGTAAAAATGTCATTTTAAACTTCGTTTAACACAACGGTGGAATCGGTCCTAAAAGAACTAATAGTTTCTATTACAGTCAAAATATTACTCTAGAGTCTAGAGGAATAAACCACGACGAATCAAATACAAAATAACTTAGACATATTTTGCCAAATTATAAAGTTGATAAAAATATAGTACCAGGATAGTTGGAATTTCCATGTGTTTATTTGCATTTTTATAATTTTTTAACACTTTTCTTTGAAATGTGCCTCTTTTTTTAAATCTTTTTCCAGCGTGAGATGTCCATTTTGTTTACTCGAAACATCAACAAGCCAATAACGTGTTAAAACAGAAATAATGAAATGTTTCAGATTGGCTCTATTAAACCAGCGGTAGGAATATTTGTGTTCTTTGAGAGCATTTTACCTCATTGATGTTTTTTAAGTGTTACTAATACAGCAGTAATAAAGACATTAAAGGATACTTTGTAATTGCTATGTTTCCTCTCTTAAATATAGTTGTTTTTTTTTTAGCTGTAATGAGAGTATTTTGTTGAATCAATTTTGCTTTATACATGTTGCACAATTTGCTGTAACAAGAAAATGAGGCGACTTCCCTTATAAGTGTTGAATATATAACCAATGTATCTTATTGTTATATCAAACAACATGCCTTAGAAATTTGCACTTTTATATATTTATACTTACCTTTAAAATATTACTATAGACAAATATAAAACCGTTATAAATCAAAAAGCCTTAAAAAAGAAATTGGTGTTATAGATACGACTAATAGCTGTTCTTAAAAAATACTATGTATCTCTTATAAAAAAAATCTGATGTGTCCAACACATGACTTTCCTATCTGGTTATTATAGGCTTTTTCCGGTTATTTTGTACAACCTATTGTAGCACCTCTATAAATGTTTAGAGGATAAACTAAATATATACATTTTCCACATACATCTAACTCGAAAATATTTTCTATAGATATCATTGGAAACGAAAATACTGAAAAACTTAAATTTAGCACTTTTCCTCCAATTTTTCCATTACGGTCCATTTTAGAAGAATCATGTAAAAACAATAATTATAGAAATCGATATCGCAAACAACTATTAGTTTAACAATTGTTTTAAAAATCAGAATTTTGTACATTTTGTCAAATTTCTCGAATACGGATCATTTCAGGAAAATTTGACATAAAACAAAAATTATAGATAGTAATATTAGAAGTAACTTTTATTTGAACAATTTTCTTCTCCAAACATAAATAACAGATATATTCCATAAAATATAAAAACGGCCTCCTATAAAGTACCCCCCAGATGTTCCGACTTTGTCCAAAATCTAATCATTTCACGTCAGGCCGAAATAAAACTTAAGTTTAAAATTTAAAGTGTTTTTCTTTATCCGTTTTTGAGTTTTATTCAAAATTCGAAATTTACACATTTTCTCAAATATCTCGAATTCGGACCATTTTAGGAAAATTTTGTATAGAACAAAAAATATTGAAAATAATATTGTAAGTAACTTTTATTTAAAGAATTTTCTTCTCCAAACGTAAATAACAGATATATTCCATAAAATATAAAAATTACCACTCATAAAGTACCCCCCCAGATGTTCCGACACTGCCCAAAATCTAATCAGTTCATTGGACGCCGGAATAAAGCTTAAGTTTGAAATTTGGTGGATACACACACACCACACACACACATCATCCCGAAAATAGTCAAAACGGATTCAGGGGACCCCCAAAACGTAAAAATCCGTCGAAAACTGGAGGTCGAAATAAATCATGATTCCTATACTTTCCTTATCTGTATACAGATAGGAAAGTAAAAATTTATAACATATAATAAATATGCTGTAAGAATATTTATATAACAATATTATAGTGCTATTTTGTTTTCAACAGCTAAATTGCATCATTTGCTATATTTATGAGTCAATATTGAATTTCTGAAACAACTATAAAACCTTTATAAGAATTGAATGTTCTATAATTCGAAGGTTATAAGAGAAGTGTGCTGGTTGGGATGCACATATCAGGCAGATACCTCTGCCACTCGTCATGCATAAATATGTGTGATGTTTGTAGTGAGGCAAGCATTAGCCTAAATTGTAATGATGCTCGCTGACAGCTGTTATTTGCATATTCCTATTAAACTTTGTTCAACTCATTGTAAGGTATACTTTCCGTGTTGAAAATTATGTACCTGTATATTATTTAAATCGTCCGTTATAATTATTTTAGCCGAAAATGGGGTCTCCTGCACCCATAGAAAACAAATTACAACCAAGTCAGGTACCAATGAACAAAAACTGTGATATTCCAGTCAAGAAAGAAACGAATCCATTAGCAGAAGGTTCTGATAGTGGTAACAATCCTTCTTCGTCGGAATGTGATTCTAATGATGGGATGTTGCACATAAAAGGCAAGAATTAATCCAAAGGAAGCTTGAAAAATAATAAAGTTTTATTAAATTTATATTTTTTATTGCAGAAGATATTGAAGATGAAGTAGATGAAACGTTTTTTGAAGGTGACCCTGAAATGATGGATCAAGAATTGACAGAAGAAGACGGGACTATTAATGCTAGTATTAAATCAGAGTTTTCACCTATCGCCAATGTTTCTTGTCAGTATGACGCATCACAAGGTAAGGAACTGGACACCACACAACATTTACGCACATTAAAACTTGGTTTTCTACACTCATTTTGTAGCAGTCTAATCTGTTGAATATTTATAAATGTCTAAAAATTATCTGCAAACAATACAAATTCCGAGTATGAAACAGAACTATGAATAAACAAAAAGAATTGGATCCAAATTAGAACCTTGTGGAACCCCTGGGTTCGCATAGTAATTACGAACTATCGTTTCCATTAAATTTCAACAAAAAAAAATCTTTATTGGGATAATCCCAAATGGCTGTAGATCTGAGTCTTTCGGCACGTATTAACAATAATTTTTGATGTTTAAATAACGTAATACATTATACATTGTACGTATAAAAAATAATAATAGGTCTACTAATGTTTATATTAAAAAAAATGATAATTATTTTCTTGGGGGTGGATTGGCTTAGTGGTTGGAGTCATGACTTTGAGATCGAAGAATCTCGGGTTCGAATCTCGCCAGTGACAGGATTTTTATTTAATTTAACGAATTTAATATTAATTCTAATGCATAAGTAGGATTTCCCACTCGACCATTGACTGTTGGGTTCCATTTTTTTTTTCTCCGATTTTATTATTTTATCCCACAGCGGTTTTTCAGGGTACTTCCTCTTTGAAGTGATGTTGGTGTTTATGGATAATCGTTTGATTTAGCAGTTCTGTATTTGGTTCCTGTGTAATTGAAATGGATGGCTCATTCAATATTTGTCGAATAGGTCTAATTTTAATCTTTTCATATAGTAATAGCACAATCCATCTATGCAGTGAATTGTTGGGGTGTTATTGTTCTCAGACATGACCTTTCCATAATTTCCATATTCTAGAGGGCTATTATGGGGCTAGAATTAGTTTGAAGTAGAATGTGGCACAAATACGTCTTATAGACGTTCTAAAAACGTCCTGCATGGACATTCAGGACATCCTTACAATCTCCATTAAACGGATGTGGGCGTCTTATACATACATCTTGCAAAATTATTAAATGGGTTGATAAATAAAATACAATTTAAATTTTTGTTCATAAATATATTTAGTACAAATTTTCTTACATAAAAAAGTTACTTGAGGTTCTCAAATTACGATTTACAAATTAATTAAAATCTTACATTTTTGGCATTATGTAAATTCATGAAAGTTATAGAGTCAATAACCCTGAGTCGGCAACCTCGTGGATGAACCTTGGAACTGCTGAATTTGCATTAGATTAGTTTTGTGTCATTCCACCTTAGGTGTAATGCCACCTGTTATATTATATTTCCTTTCAGTTAATTCAGTTTAGAATCTGTGTTTGATACGATAAGTTGTACTTTAAATAAAATAAATCTTTTTAAAAAACCAAATACCGAGTGTATTTAGATAAGTGGCGCAGTCAGTAGGATGGTCAAACGGGTTTAATGTACATAATTCCTGGTTCGTTTCTACGATTTTTTTGACCATTTTGAACTTTAAAACGTGTTTAAGAAGTTTTCCAGTTGGGTGAATTGAGTAGCCTAACGTGAAGAACGCTATTCGAGTTAAGAAAAGACATTCAAGTGAACATTGAAGAGTCTACCCGGTCCAGTCCTTGGTTGACGACGGAAATCGAATAGATGGAGTGGAAACTACTTTTACTGTAAGTGTTTTATATGTCGTTTAGAGAGCAACCTTTAATTATCAATTCTGAAAGTTCAGACAATTCTGATTCAGATACAGATTCTGACTCAAATTTAAACAAAACAAATTTAGACATTTCAAATATTTTAATTTCAAATAATAAATTTAAAATGGCTCCAACAATTCCAGAATTAAAAGATAAATATTTAGATATGATCCCAGATTTCTATGGTGATCCCGCCTTGCTTCCTAGATTTATAGAAGTAAGCGAAAAATTAGTTAGGAAATTTTATAATACAGTAGATATAAACGATTTTCAAAATGAGTATTTAATGTCTAGTATTTTAGCGAAAGTAAAAGGTGAAGCTGCCAAAAATATATCGTCTTGTACGATAAGAAATTGGGAAAATTTAAAAGCTGCTTTATTGAATACATATGCAGATAAAAGAGATATTTATACCTTAAGCTTAGAAATTTCAGCATTACAACAGGGTAACGATTCTCCTTTCCAATTCTTCAATAAAATACAGCAACTTTTAAATCTCCAAATAACCTTATTAATGACTTGTTCTAACGAAAATGAACAAAATGTTTTAGGGAATTATTTTAGAAATCAGGCTCTCAGAATATTGTTACGCGGACTAAAAGAACCATTAGGTACATTAATGCGAACAAAAAACCCTTTAGATTTAAATTCTGCTTTGAATACATTAACGAATGATTTTCAAATTGAAATGGGACCTTATAATAATAGTAATTATAGTCCAAGATATAAAAATATTAATCATAATTACCAAAATAATCATTTACTTAGAAATAGACAAAATTTTCAAAATAATCAATCAATAAACTGGCAACCAGAAATGCCAAGTTCATCTCAAAATTATCAACAATTAAATAGAAATGTAGGTTTAGTGCCTCGAAATCAACCTAGTACAAGTAGAGGTCCTAATACAAATGTTTTCAGACCTAATCCGAATCAAAAATTCCAAAATCCAACACCCATGAGTGTAAATACTTCAAATTCCTTTAGACCTACAAGAAATTTCCAAAATCGTAACTATTCTCAAAACCAAAATTCTTTTGCAAATCAAAGGAAAAATTTTATTTCTGAAGAACTACATAACTTAGATAATACAGAATGTCCCAACGAAAATATTAATGATGATTTTTTAGAAGAAAATGCCTCGGAAAACAAATAAAACAAGTCGAATTATTAAACTTAACTAACAGTGAGAGTGAATTACCGTACATAATATTCCCAGAAAATAATTTAAGAGTTCTTATTGATACTGCCAGTACAAAATCCTTTGTTGTGCCAGAAATTGCTGACAAATATTTTAAAACATCCCTTATACGCAAACCATTCCAAGTTTCTACCGCTTTAGGAACGAAACAAGAAAATTATTGTACAGTAATTCCATCCTCAAAAATATTTAAACATAATAAACCAATTAATTTCGAATATTGTATTTTTAAGTTTCATAATCATTTTGATTGTTTATTAGGGTTAGATAATCTTAAAAAATTAAATGCAAAAATTGACCTAATAAACGACTTATTAATTACCCCTTATAGTCAAATCAAAATAAATTATTTTAAGATAAATAGTGAGTGCACGAATTGTATAGTAGTGCCACCACGAACAGAACAAATTATTAAATTAAATATAAGTAATGTTAAAAACGGTGACGTAATAATACCGTATACAAAAATTGATAAATTAGAAATTCCTGAATGTTTAACAAAAGTAGAAGATAGTACAGCTATATGTACCATCTTAAATTCATCTGAATCCTATTTTAAAGTTGACCTAAGTCCAAGTATAGAAGTTGAAACGTTCGCTGAATACGAACACACAACATGCCCAAACTTAAATACAATTTACACAGACCAATTTAAATTTGATATTTCAAAAGTCCGAACAGATCACATGAACTCAGAAGAACGCAAAGCTATATTAAAACTCATTAAAGATTTTTCAGATATATTTCACATTGAAGGAAACCAACTAACTTTTACCAGTAAAATTAAACATAATATAAAAACTACTAATGAAATTCCAATTTATTCAAAATCTTATAGATATCCCGAAATTTATCGAAAAGAAGTTCAAAATCAAATAAAAAATATGTTAGATCAAAATATTATAAGGCCTTCACATTCACCTTGGTCATCGCCTATCTGGGTAGTGCCAAAAAAACTTGATGCTTCAATGAAGCCAAAATTTCGCGTTGTTATAGACTACCGTCGCCTAAATGCTATCACTTTAGGAGACCGGTATCCTTTACCAATTATCAGTGATTTATTGGATAAACTTGGTCGTTGCCAATATTTTACTACATTAGATCTTGCTTCGGGATTTCACCAAATTGAAATGGCCGAAGAAGATATACCTAAAACCGCTTTTAATACAGAAAACGGTCACTATGAATTTTTACGTATGCCTTTTGGGCTACGCAATGCTCCAGCCACGTTTCAGAGGGTCATGGATAACATTTTAAGAGGGATACAAAACGAAAAATGTTTAGTATACCTCGATGACATTATTGTCTTTAGCACAAGTCTCCAAGAGCATATAACAAATTTAAAAGAAGTTTTTCAAAGATTACGAGAATCAAATTTCAAAATTCAAATCGATAAATCCGAGTTCTTGAGAAAAGAAGTATCTTATTTAGGCCATATAGTTACGCCACATGGGGTTAAGCCAAATCCAGATAAAATAATAGCAATAAAAAATTTTCCAATACCTAAAAATACTAAACAATTAAAAGGATTTCTAGGCCTACTCGGATATTATAGGAAATTCATTAAAGACTTTTCTAAATTAACTAAACCATTAACTATTCGTTTAAAGAAAAATGCAGAAATTAATATAAATGAACCGGACTATTTTAAATGTTTTGAAACTTGTAAAAATTTGCTAATTAATGAACCGATACTCCAGTATCCAGATTTTTCAAAACCTTTTAATCTTACAACGGATGCGAGCAATTTCGCATTAGGCGCCGTTTTGAGTCAAGGAAAAATCGGATCTGATTTACCTATTGCATTTGCAAGTAGAACTCTGAATGAGTCAGAGATAAACTACTCAACAATTGAGAAGGAACTCTTGGCAATTGTTTGGTCGGCTAAGTATTTTCGGCCCTATCTATTCGGGAGAAAATTTACTATAGTAACCGACGCAAAAGCTCTTCAATGGCTTTTCTCAGTCAAAGACCCCAACTCTAAACTAGTGAGATGGAGGTTAAAACTTGAAGAGTTCGACTACGATATAGTGTACAAAAAGGGTGCACTAAATACAAATAGTGATGCCTTATCTAGAATAGAACTTAATGTAAACGAAACAATAACTAATTCAAAACCTAGTACTTCTACAGAAATT